CCGAACTCTGCCCAAAGCCCCTGCTCCCCCTCTGAGCACCGCGCTGCCCAAAGCCCTCGCTCCCCCTCCGAGCACCGCGCTGCCCGAAGCCCCGCCCCCTCAGCACCACGCCGCCCGAAGCCCCCGCCCCGAGCACCACGCCGCCCGAAGCCCCCGCTCCGAGGGCCGGGCCGCCAAATCCAAAAAAATAAAATAAAATAAAATAAAAAATCAAGCGCCGCCCTGCCCCAAGCACGTGCTTTGTCGGCTGGTGCCTGGAGCCGGCCCTGCATTGAACACTACCCGCCGATCCGGCAGGTAGTATAGACGTACCCTATAAGTAAAACTTGGCAATTTAGTAAATTGCCTGAAATACAGAAACCTGTATTTTTAATGATACCCTTTTTAGCATGTGGCAATTCTAAACTTTATTGTACAAGATCAGAAGTATTCATTTTTATTTTCTCCAGAAGAAGTTCTCTTCTTGCCACTCCTAGAATCTGAAGTCTGAAAGAACCAGCTATTCTGTAGTAAAAATGACAGTTTACTGGAAGTAAAGTTAATGGAGAGTGTGGCTACAGTTGAGGCAAATGTATTTTCTTCATAAAGGAAACCTGTTGGTTCTCTTCTCTAACTGGACCAAGATATTTGTCATTTGAGAAAGTCAGAAAAATGTAAAACAAGAGTCATGCAATTGGAATTCCACAGAAATGAGAAAATGGTGTCATTCCAGAAGCTACCCTATTGACAACTTTTTTAGTATACAGTTCGGTTATGTTTCATCTGATCCAGAAAAGCTTTAAGTAAATTGAGATTTGTTTTGCTTGCTTGTTTTTCAACTTTGTCCCGACTCTAAAGCACCCTAGTCTGACAGACCATGTTAAATTGGGTTCCAGAAGTCTGGCAGAGTTAGATTAGCGCACTTCACTACAAATACACCAGTATGGCTCCTCCCTATGTCAAATGCCACAGGGACTTTCTTACAAAATCAGTTTGAATTGGTAGGAAGTATTCAACTGCTTAGAGCAGCGGTTCTCAACCTATTTATAATTGTGGGCTGCATGTTACCTGGGCCGCAGGTTGAAAACCACAGACTCCTCCCCCACCCTCCATGCCCAGCGCCTCCAACCCAGAGATCCCTCCACAAAGTGGGGCCAGGAGTGGAGCCCTGGGTGGGGGGCCCGACAGCAGCCCCAACACTGAACCTGGCTATATGGGGCTGGGCGTTAGCCCCACCGTGCAGGGCCGGCCAGTGACTCCGACCCACCCTGCCCAACCGGGCAGCCCGGACCTCACAGCGCTGGGCGACCCGGACCTGCATGGCCACGGCCTTTAGCACACAAGTGGGCTGGAGAACTGCTGGCTTAGAGTAATAAGTTTTAAAGGAACATATTAGTCTAATCATTTAGCAGTTTTAGTCAAATCTTCCAGCAACTCAGGCGTGAGTCTGCAAATGACTTTTAGCCTATATTATAGGAGAGCTGCATTTTATATTGGAAAGTCTGGAAAAATCTTTAGAGGTGATCCAGGGAATTACAGATCAGTAAGTCTTACACTTGTACCTGGCAAATAGGGTTGTTTTAATTAGTTCAAACACCTAGGAGATCATGATGCAACTGATCTAAATCAGCATGGTTTCTACAAAGCAAGATCATGTCTCACCAATCTTAGAATTCTTTGATCATGTCAGTAAAGTAATGGATATAGGACAACCAGTTAACAAATTTAGACTTCCAAAAAGGTCCTGCCTGATTTTTAGTAGCCTCTTGTGCAAGGCCTGAGGCATAGGTAAGAGATTGGCTAGAAAACAAGACAGTAGAATTAAATGGTCAGTTTTCACCAATGAAGGGTTAACAACAAACAGGGTACCTCCAGGAAATTCAAGCAAGTTGTGTGGTAGCAAAATTTGCAGATAACTCAGTTTAGATTAGTCAGGACCAGAGCGGACTGAGGAACTTCAGAGAGACTTAAGCAAACTGGGCAAATAGGCAACAGAATGAGAATTTAAATTTAGTGTAGATAAATGCAAGATAATGCACATGGGAGGGGGAAAACTGAAGTGCTCATACTCTTTACAAGGTTTCTTCCTTGTGTTAATTTAGAACCTAAGTGTCACTGTAGACAGCTCAATGAAGACATCTGCTCTAGGTGCAGTTGTAGAAAAAAATAGTGTTAAGATGCACAGGAATAGGATTGAGTGTAAGAATTTTTAATACCTTTTATATACTCGTGCAGTATTGGTCACCCCATCTCAAAAATAATATTGCAGAAATAGAGGGATTCCAAGAAGCAGTAACAAGTATGAAGTGAAGAGGGAAACTGGGATTATTTACTTTAGGAAATGAATAAGAAGGGATGTGACAAAAGTACATAAAACAAATTGTTCAGAGAAATTAGATAGCTTTTGTTTTTCCTGTCTTGTAACAGGAGTGAGATCAGCTGGCAGGTCTTCCT